GTACACACCAGGTTTCTAACAGGCAAGGCACATTCAGCCAAGCCTCCAGTAACTTTAATACACTTGAATGTACACATCGCCTGAATGTACGCCTCACCACATCCAAGGCTTAAGTCTGCATCTGAAGCACATATAGTACACAACTCACCACAACCTCCCCTTCAGTAAGCAACACTCCTGTTCATACCAAATGTCTAATTACAGGAACATTTCTCGCTACAGTACATGCCTTTCAGGCAAATAAAAATACAGTGTATTTCCAAATTCCTTCCAGTTGTGCATTTAATCCAGAGCATTGGTAAAAGGGATTTTTTTAATTTTTTAAAAAAGGATAAACTTAAATTTACTTCTACTCTGCACAAAGTCTTATTCCAGAAGCACGCCAAGCACCTTTCAGCAAGGGAGGAATAATTTATTAACTCCAGCAACTTCTGCTGTGAAGCCCATTGCTTTTTTTTTTTTACAGGGTTGAGCATTGTTATTATAACTTTATTGGCCACTCAAGTTTGGTGGTGTAGGGCAGGTAGCCACATTTACTTTACTATCTCATTCAGCTTCTCAACAATCTGTGTGAGACAAGTCAGTTTCATGCCCATTTAGCCAATGGGGAACTGGATCTGAAAGATAAAAGACTTATGAGGCTACCCCAATAATCCCAGTGATGAAGCAAGACTTAAATCCTAACTCAGGGCCTTTGACATCCAGTATTTTATCCGCTGCACTGCTGGACCATGCCTTTGCCTCTTAACTTTGATTGCCTACAAAGCTGAGGAACTGGCAGGCTTTAATCTGAGATAAGGGTCTCCCCAGGAAACACGGGGCGCGGTACAACAGCACATGCGACACAAGCCACATCCACACATCTGTGGTAAGCATGAAAGTGCCAGAACCATGAGAGAAGGGCCAATCAATACAGCCTTTCCCACTTGACATGTAGGGCCAATTTCCACACTGCCACAAACACTTGTGTGCGCACACACACATCTGCAAGAGAGAGAACAGAACCACAAAAGCCAACTAATTTGAATAGATTTAAACTTGGATTGTGATCATGAAGTGATCACATTAATCCATTTGCCTAGGAAACTGTTTATGAAGAAAACGTTCCCAGCCTTGTTAGCATATTTTTAAAGCAATAGTATTCTCACTCTGCCGAGACACAAAGGAATCTAGAATAGTATGAGCCTCTTCTGTACATGTCCCCTTGCTATCTTGATAGGCATTGCCCTAGGCAGACTAGAGGAACCAACTTCAGTGCTTTATTTCAACGAAGGTTCATTTTTCGACAACTCTGAATCTATTCCGGAAGCTGCTGTCAGGTCCTGAGTAGAGCAGCAGCAGAGGCAAGGGGGTGAAAACTGATTAGTTTCTCTGTCCCACTCATTAGCCATGTGTAACCCATACATGCAATCCTCGTTATACCACGGGTCAGCTATAAGCTGCATCTTTGCAGATGGAAAACTGTTAAATGGGGAAAAATGAACCAGATGAGATCAGTGTTTGAAACTCCCATTGTCCTAGGCACATTTTGCGACAGGGAATTTCATTAGTGCAAGCAGTTTCTGAGCTCTGGGCACAGTACTGCACCTAAGATTTCAGATTAAAACTGCAGAATGGAAGGAAAGGAGGACCTTTTTCTGCCTCCCCACTTACAGCTACTCTCTTAAGATTGGATAAGAGACCCTCTTAAGAATATTAGGGGGGTGGGCAGAGGAAAGACTAGACCATGTGAAAAATGAACATAATATTTGTAGCTGCAGTTCATTCATTTTCAGATTTGTATTCTTGTTATAAAAAAGTGCAGCTGGACATTCCGTTGTTGCACCCATAACCTAGGTTTAAGGTGCTGTTTAGCTCCTAGCTTTCAGATCTCAGTTTCTAACACTGGATGAGATCACTGTGTTGACATCTGCACAGGGTCAGGAGAGGGGACCAGACCATTTCGTGTCATGCTATTATCAATAACAGTTCAGCCCAATCCTCTTTTGCCTTTTGGGGACAGAACTGTGACATGGGTAAGTGAAGAACCTATGGGTGGAATTCAACATCTTAATATCACAACAGTTCCATCAGCATTTCAGCTTGCCAGACATAACAATCTCACCTCTCCTCCTTCCATGTGCTGTTCTGAGTTTCTCCCAACCTCTAGAGCCAATGGAGGGGGAGTCCCATTGAGCTAGTGGGACATGTGGCACTGGCCCCCTCTAGTGTAACTGTTTAGCTGAATCCAGTCCTATGTCTTCCATATGAAGGTATAGTTAGGACTGTTCTTCTCTGCATTTCCATAAGAATTGGTAATGAAAATTGCCTCCAAAAGATACACATTGTGCCTTCCTCTCATCACTCAGTTGCCGTATCCCTCTCCCACATGTCGAGACTCAAGAGGCTAGATTTTCAGGGTCAAACTACTTGATTCCCATATATGTAGCAGCAAAGCCCCAGTTTCACATTAGTTATCACTGGAACAGAGGCATCCTGGAAATCAGCAGGGCCTCCTGGCAGTTCTCTCTGTCTAACCAGGCAGCTAGAATAGACATGAAGTTGTTGGTTTGCAAACACACACACACACACACACACACACACACAAAATCCTGCCAGAAGTGAGCAAACTGTGGCTTTGCTGCCTACATTAACTGTCTGGCTGAATGATAACTTTGTTTCCTGAAATGAAATGTTGCTGCCTTGCAGGCAGGGTAGATAGCAAAGCTTGATGGCAAGAGTTACGATCCCAAACACATTTTTGTTCTTTGCATATCTGAGAAACCATAGGGGCAGGACAGTGCTTGCTGGGATTGTTGGCTGGGAGTGCTGTTGCCAGACCAATAAATATACAAATAAATAAAAATTGGGGGGTCGAACTAAGAAATCCTGTGTTAAAAGAGCCCAGAACACTCATCTCTGCGCGCCACATCATGCTACGTGGCAAAATCTGTGTGCACATCAGTCAACCAAATTCCCCTAGCTAAATTCATCTCAAGAAGTAAGTACAGTTTTTCAAACAGAGTAAACAGTTTCATGGAATTAGGAGCCTTTTCACTAAGATCAAGGTTGCCCCTTGAGATATACTGCCCTGAGAAGAATTGCTTTTATATACTAGCTGAAGGCAAGAGGGAGGGGTGTGTGGTGGGAAAGCATGACATTATACATAGGTAGAACTCCGACAAAATTTAAAAGCTTGACTCCAACCCTGACAGGAATTGTTCATGTTCTTCCCCACCCCACCCCAACGCCCAGCACAAGTCAATTCTGCACTAAAAGGTTCAAATCCCGCCAGAGGCAACTTAAAGCCTCACATTCCTGAAGTAAGCAGTGTACAGATCAACTCTGCTGAATAAAACTTAAAGTTTGAAGGTCACCTGTGCTCACTCTGGCCCACTGTTAAAAACATTTCCTTTGTGTTTTTACAGTGCATTCCTTCAATCTCTTTATTATGCCCACCCTCTGTCCTTGAAGAAATTGTGTTTCTATCTTGCTTGTGGGAAACTTTGCTACCAAGGTGTATGTATCACCTCGTTTCACTGTGCGAAATATGGTTCTGTAGTCATAATAATAACAACAATAACAGACTAATGATTTCGGAGAACAGAATGTACATACAATTAAACATCATGTTCCTCTTCCTTAAAATTAGACAGAAGATTCGTTTTTATTAGTTTTTATTTTAGTTAGCACAAGTTTCTCAACCCAAGTAAAAGAGGTACTGGGTTAATAGTGGAAGGAATTATTTAGAGGATGACAAAGGTCCCTTAGAAGGAATTCAGAAAAGAGGAATCGGCCTGCGGCGGTAGGGAGGAGATAGGGAGAGATATACCAGATAAAAGGTAAAGGTAAAGAACCCCTGATAGTTAAGTCCAGTCGCAGACGACTCTGGGGTTGCAGTGCTCATCTCCCTTTACAGGTTGAGGGAGCCAGCGTTTGCCTGCAGGTAGTTTTTCCAGGTCATGTGGCCAGCATGACTAAGCCGCTTCTGGTGCAACGGAACACCGAAATCAGAGCAGCGCACAGAATCACTCTTTACCTTCCCACCAGAGTAGTACCTATTTATCTACTTGCACTTTTTGGCATGCTTTTGAATTGCTAGGTTGACAGGAGCTGGGACCGAGCAACGGGAGCTCACCCCATCGCCAACCTTCTGATCGGCAAGCCCAAGAGGTTCAGTGGTTTAGACTACAGCGCCAGGTAAGGGAATTAGTAGGAATATATTTGATGGTACATTTATCCCTTCGTACAAGGTGTACTGAGTGAACAAGTGAATTCGGAATGGCTGGGATTAGGAAAAGTAAATAAATTTCTTGGTTTGGAGCCAAATGGGTAGGTGGCTTCATTTCAAGGCCACGAGCATCCTTGACCTCCTATTTTAAAAGCAAACACAGAGAAGCAGAGAGAAAATGGCCACAGGTGCACATCTTTGGAATGTGTGTAGGATATGATGGCAATGCAGATTTGAGAAGTGTGAAGAACAGCAGAGATACTTTGCAGCCTTTTTGCCAGATGTGCCTCAGAGCCACATCATACTATTGTTCACCCGATAAAAAGGTGTCCCTGAATTAAATCTCTGGCTTTTCCCAATAAGCATTTTTCAAAATATCATAAAGGAAAAAGTAACAGCAGAAGAAGTTTTATTTAAGGAACCAAAATAGGCATTCTTGGGAAACATACCCAAGACCCATGTTTTCCAACATATTGCAGAATTCAGGGGCAGACTTGCTGGGGAGAATCAGAAAGTGGGAACCACCTCCCTAAACTCCTCCTGAACTCAGCTCTTCCCTGAAATTGCTCCCTGGCCATTCTGCACACATATACACACCAGCTGGCTTCCATAACTAGAAGCGACCTTAGCCAGGGAAATACTTAAGGAGGGAATCAGTAGGTGGAAAAAGCATCACATAGCAACATAGGAAGCTGCTGTATAACAAGTCACACCTTTGGTCTGTTTTGCACAGTATTGTCTACACTGACTGGCAGCAGCTCTCCAGGCAGGGTTGGCTCCCAGCCCTAAGTGGGGAAGCCAGAGATTGAACCTGAGACCTGCTGAATGCAAAGCAGAGGCTCCACCACTGAGCTATGGGTCCTCCCTCTTATTACATGCTGCAAATGGCTGCAGTCCCTACTTTTCATTGTAAGGGTGAATATGGCTGGGAACTTTATGTTACCCCTTGTAATGGACATTAGACTGAACTTTTGGCATAAGAGGCTCTATTTCTACTGTACAATACTGGTAGAAACCCACTCCCAGTCCTTTGGACTGGGTAGACCATACATCTAAAATTAAAGTGCAACTATTAAACCTTGTTCTTAAGGTCCGTGTTTGCCCTCTATGGGGAATAAGCCTAATTTTCATTCATACCTAACTCCAATCCTAAAGAATGCAAATACTTTACTATCAAAACCATCAGCCTGTCTTAATCCTCTCTTCCTCATCCTCAGTCTGCTTTGCACAGTACCCCCAGATTTCCTTCTCAGTGCCACATTCCCCTGTACCACTAGTGTGGATGCATTTTTTGAAGCATACCTGGTAAATCCTGCTTTAAAAGGTGCCCCAGTTATTTTAAATAGTCATAAACAGCCTGCTTTGGACAAGAACATTTCTTCTAGTTCAGAAAACAGCTGGTTGCTTCAACAGCCTGAGTTTCAATTGCAAAATTCAGCATTTCTGCCTGAGACTGCTAAAAAAAGGTTCCATTCATAGTTGGACTACTGCAGGGCATTGTAGAAAACTCTACTTTTGAAAATTCAGTGCATGACTACAAAACTGCTTGACCGAAACTTTGCAATGGAAGCACATCTGACTAGTGCTTCACTATCTTAACTAGCTCACAGTCCATTTCTGTACCCAATTCAAGATGTTGCTTTCGACCTTTAAGACCCATCGGGACTTGGGATCAGGGTACCCGAAGAACTACTGCTCTTCACACACACCTATGCAACCCTTGAGAACTTCAGAGGACCTTCTTCAAGTGTCTCCATCCAGTAAGGTGTGGTGAGTGACTATAAGGAAATCTACCTTTCCAGAGAAGGCTTCCTGGCTTTGAAATGCCCTCCCACATAGCACTTACCTTTGAGTCACTCCAGCACCAGCCTCTTTATCTGTTTTAGATTTATATATGTGACTATAGGCAGTGGAAGACAGAAGTGCCTGGCGTGCTCTGGTCCATGGGGTCACGAAGAGTCGGACATGACTAAACGACTAAACAACAACATGTGACTATTTTTATGCTGTGTTTATACTTCTATTATTTTTGAATTTCAAATGGTTTTATTTCTTCTTGTGAGCCATGCTGGACACACAGGGCAGCCTATAAACACTGTAAACCAGGCTTGGGTTGCCAAACGTTGTTGGATTACAACTCCCATCAACCCTGATCATCAGCTAAGCTGGCTGAGGATCACAGAAGTTCTCAACCAACATCATCTAGGATCCAAAAGTTGAGGAACTCTGTGCCAATAAATAGCCTAGACTGGATGTTGACAAAAACTCCTTCCTTGTTCCCCTTCTCTCTCACACACCCAGATATCTTGGTATTTAAATTGATGAATCAAAGCTTTGAGGGTAATAAGAACTCTGGAATTTTGGTGCCCATACTACAGAGTTGCAGAAACAGAAAGAATGGATAATACTGACTTGACACTGTTATGTTCTGGATTATGAACTAGTCCTGACCTCACCAACCTTGCAACCTCCATATGTTTTGGACTGGCTGGACAGGATGGGAATTGTAGTGCAAACATCTGGAGGGTTTGTCAACCCTGGTTCTCCCCCATCCTCCAAATTCTTATTTCAACAATATTTCCTTAAAACTATTCTGTGAAGGCTGAAATGTAATACAGGTGTCTCAATAAACCTGTTTCATACTTTAGTCTTTGTGGAATGATTCTGCACACCTAAATTCAAAGGTGTGAGTGAGACGTCCAATACACACATAATGGATGTGGGGAGAGCCTTGCTGCAGGGAGGGCCGCTTTAGTAAAAGAAGCATAGATTGGATGGTGGGGGCCCCAGAGGAAATATTCAGCTTGCAAAGAAGAAATCTATATGCGAGGTGGAACTGTTCTCAGGACAAAGTCTGAAGGTTTGCTGAGTGTTCCTATACTTTTCTTAAGCCTGTTCAGGATGAGACCTATGTTGTTGTTGTTTAACATGAGGGAGCATGATATCACATGTTTTATACAGTGAGTGCTCACGACTTTCACACCATCAGATTCCATTCAGTCCTCATAATCAATTAGAATGGCCCCACCAGCTGGAGAAAGCTTGGCCTCTTCCAAACAATAGGTTGCTATTTGAGTGCTGGAAAAACAGAATATCCCTGAAACAGATCCACTTTCTTAAGGAAGATGTCAAGAGTCCAACACAACAGAAGCAACAACTTTGCTTTTATTGTTGTGCTACAGACTGATCATCTGGAAAGGCATTTCGGTCTCATTTATCTCCTTGTTCTAGACCACTTTAGCAAATAAGAGTGCTCCCATTTCAGCTAAACATTTCATTTCCTCCCCACAAATCGTTGCCCCAAAGAGGCCAAATGAGAGTCATACAAGAAGGAAGTGGTATCTTGTCGCTGCATTTTTTCCTCAGTGGTCATTTCTAACTAAAGGACTGATGAAAGGCATGCTTGCTGCCTCCAAAATTAAATAAGGAAAGCTACTACTGCCATGCTGAAAATACAAGTCAGGGAAATCCTAACCCACCAGGGAATGAGCTGTAGATAGAGAAATTAGAAAGGCTGGTCTAAGCACTGAGTTTGGGGACTCCAGCTGCCAGCTTAATTACATCGGAAAACAAAGCGATAACAGGAGAAAGCATTACAAAGCCTGCAAAAAGCAACATACCCTAAAACCTCTGCTCCAGCCCAGGCTCCAAGTTCCAGATAAGAATGAAAATTGCTACCTCTTGGCAGGCTGGAGGAGGAATCCCAAAATAAAACATTAAGTTGTAGATGCCCTTACCTGACCCATCCCATGCATTTCTCCAGCGCTGTGCTGCTCTGGCATCCCATATCACAAGCAAGGCCAACCTAGTCCCCCAAACTTGCATTGGAATCAGAGTCATCCCTTGGCACTAGCTTAACAAAACTGGAAATCATGCTGGGGTTTCCTGACGCCTCTTCTTCCAAAGAGCCAGCTGCCTGTACCTGGATGAGGGACTCCTAGTTCTAAGGAGCCCGGCAATTCCCACGTGTCTCTGCAGTCACATACAGAAAGTCTTCTCCCGCCACCGCTCCATCCCCTTTACCTGTGGACGAGCCCTCTCGACCTCCTGCACCACCACAAACTGAACACAACACACCTTTGCTCTTTGCGTTAGCTGATCCACAATAGCCTCTACCTACGTTCAAAGCAAGGTGGTCGCCGTTGTTGCAAAAAAGGGTGGGCGGGCGAGCCAATCCTTTACTTTAACAACCCTTGCTGGATCGCCTTGTACAATAAGGTAGTTTTTCAAGAGTTGCAGGGGAAACTAACCTGGGCTAAAATCGCGGAGCGAACACGCACCGTAAAGAAAGACAAACGCGATTTGACGGCGGCATAAGCTTCCGTGGGCTGTAAGGCACGGAGTGGGTTGGGTGCTAGTCCACGAAAGCTTACGCCACGTTTGTTTTTTTAAAAGAAAGGGCGAATAAATAAATCTGTTCCGTCTTTAAGGCGCTGCCTGCATAGCCTGCATTATTAGGCTGCCTCCAGAGCGGAAAAGTGCATTTCCATTTGCCTCCTCGGTGCCCAGGAATAACCGACCCAGAGCATCACGTCTCTCGCCCACCCCGCTCGCGCTGCATCCTCTCGCTTAATAATAGAGAGAATTGGGGGGGGAGAGGGAGCGAGATTGAAGCCTTCCTGCCGCTTGCGTTGGCCAGAGAAGCGGCGTCCTGGGTGCCCCCTCCCGCCCTGGGCAAGAGGGACTTGCCAGGAGCCCCCGTCACGTCCTGCCTTCCCCTTGCAGCCAGCTACCTTCGGAAACGAGGAGCCGCTCTGGGCACCGCGGCGGGTGTCCGCCTCATCTCAAGGGCTTCCAGCCAGAGTCGCCGGCCGCATCTCCCCTCGGTCCGCAGCTCAGGCTCGCTCGGCAGCGGCGGCGCGCGGCCACGGCGGGAGGACCATCCTCCGGTGTGTCTCTCCTCGGGGCTGAGCTCTGGCTCTCGCCAGCCCACCGCCCCCCCTTCCCCTCCCCTCGCACGACGACGCACGCGCGACCGCCAAAGGAGGGGACCCACGCGCAGCTCGGGCGGGCGGCGGGGCTGCTCCGACCCTCCCCGCGCGCCTTTTCTTTCTTGCTGCGGCGGCGCCCGCTTCCTTCCCTCAGACGCTTCGGCGCGGGCTGCGAGGTGGGCGAGGGCGGGCGAAGGGGGAAGAAAAGTCCCGCGCTTTCGTCCGCAGCCGAGCCGCCGAAGTATCCTTTCGGCAGTTGCTGCTGCTCTCCAGACCAGTCTCTCTGAAACCGGTGCGGACCTATTGGCCGACCGCCTTCCCTGGAGAGCGAGGAGGGGTTTTGTTTTGTTTTTTTTTATACCGGCGGAGGTTGAGCTCCCTTCCAACCGCACAGCCAGCAGCAAGGAAACGGTGCAGGCGGCGGCGGCGGCAGCATCATCATCATCGGGGAGCTCCCCTCGCCGAGCCAAATCTGCAGCAGAAGCAGCCGCCGGCCGCTCCCGCCGCGGCCCATCTCCGGGGTCAGAGCGCAACCCGCGCTCTGCTCTGCCTAACTGAGGAAAGCGCGGGCGAGGCGGCGGGCGGGCGGGCGTGGGGGAGGGTGGGGGACCCCCTGCCGGGCCTGTCCTCCGCAGCGCGCTTCCTTTCGAGCGAAGGGAATTCGGCGCGAGCAGCCGCGCGCGCCACGCCGATTCCGCCTGAGGCGATTCGGCGGTGGCATCGGACCCGGCGTGAGCTTGCTGCTGCCGGCGGTGTTGGTGCTCTCGCCGTGCTCTTTGTCCAACCAGCGGACAACTTTCCAGCTTCCAGATGGCTAGCCTGAGCTTCTCACTCCCTCTCTTAAAGGCGCCGACGCCGCGCTAAAAGATGTCGGGGGTTGTGAGGCGGGAGAATCTCTGGAGCGGCCGCTGTCCGGAGCGCGCGCAACTTCAGCCGTCGCGGCTGACCGCTGCGGGGCGCTGTGGGGCTCGCTGAGGAGAAGACCGCGAGCTTCTCTCAGTTAGGGATGCCTCCCAAGTCAGGCATCACCCGTATGCCAGGCGTACATATCAGCTCCCTAAAACACTTATGAAAGCTTCTCCAAGGATGTCAGGGCTGAGGTTTATAGTACCAGCTTGGTTCAATTGAATGAAGTTTTTTTATTATTATTTATACTTGATAGGTACCTTATAAACAAATCAATGAAACATAACATTGAGCTATAAAAATCTCAGCATAACAACCCAAACACACCATCAATATCATGCCAATCACAGGAGCTTTTTGAAAACACCCCCCCCCCCCAGCTCAGCTGAAACCACCAGTCATGCCACACGGACTAAAATGAGGAGATTTTAAAATGGGGGGGGGGGAGTCAGGCTGAAGTTAAAAAGACAACAACATGAACACCATGTGTGCTTCCTTTGGGAAAGTATCCGGTTGGGGGGGGTGCACCACCAAAAAGGTCCTCTCTGTCGTGACCACCTTCCAAAGTTTGGTCAGAGGTAGAACTCAGATAGGGGCTGAAGTACATACAGGTAGGAAGTACATACAGAAGGAAATCTTCCCTCAGGTATGGACATCCCAAGCCATGTATACATTATAGGTCATAACCAGGATTTTGAAGTGGGTCCAGAAACTAATTGGAAACCAACGAAGGTGAAAATAGACTGGATCTACTGAATAGGTACCAATAGGTCTAAATTATTTCACGGCCAGAATTCACTAATCTTCACTAATTCTCTCAAAGTGGCCTCGTGGCCCCAGAGTTTGCATTGTTTGAAACTGGCAGACCCAACCTTTCTCACCATTTGAAGGGAATTTACTGAGCATTTGAGAATGCATCTTTTCGTGTTCTTGGTTCAACCCTACAAGGGTACACAGTACACCTAGGGAGCAGGTCCCTTTCTCCCTGGAATATCCTCATGGTGACTGTGTGAAGCCCACCATGTTGACTGTTGCACTCGGGGCCTCACACCTGAAACAGTGAAAAAGAAAACATGTTTGCAGATTGTATATCTCATAAATGGACATTCAGTAAACAAGCCCTATATCTTATTTAACTTTCCTCAAAGGGCCATCTGATGCATATTTTCTCAGCGGAACCATTGAACTTAATAGGACTTACCTGCAAATAAATGTGAATAGGATGTAAGCCTCATTCATACATTCCACTTTAGAAGTTCAGGTTAAGCTGACATGGTGTTGCTAGATTAATACAGTGAAGCTGTAAAAGACATGTTGATTGCTATTGCTGTCAGGTTAGGAAATATCAGGTCCCTAAGTCTTCCCTGTGTGTTCAAATTCTATCTGGTTAAATTCACAAAAATGTGGTTTGTGACTTTTGTAGCTGTGAATGAAAATTGCACCAAAGGCCCAGTTCCATAGGTGGTACAATGGAACAATAGCCCACCCAGAAAACTGTCTTCCCCACCTTTTGTTCCTGTCTTGCTGGCAGAGTGCAGTGCCTTACTATTCAAGCTGTTTGCTTTGGCTGCTGGCTGGAGCTCAGGACTTTGGCAGCATGTATTAAATGGTTTTATGAGCAAGCAGTTCACCCCCTTTGCCAATGCGTTCATGTATACTTTCATACATTCTGCCTTAGCTCCAGCCAATCGCTATGGCTTGCTTCAGCTTTCTCTGAGATGCAGGCAGAATGCACTAATAAGGAGAATCTCAGCAAAGGGACCAGAACACTTTGGCATAAACATCTTGCCTGAACCTAACTGAAGGATGGGAGCGAAAGACACATGGATAAGTTTGAGGTAACCAGTTTGAGGCATTACGTGGGAGGTCCTTGACTGCATCTGCCTTTCTACCTCTTCTCCTTCTAAGGGGTGCACTGGAGCCACGGCACAGGGGAAGCAGTGATCCCTGTATACTTTCCTCTACATTGCTCTTGGGGCTTTCCATGAGATGGGATGAAAGGGTTAACCTCTTTTCTCCTACATTATAGTCCCAAACCAATTTTGGGACATCCTGTGTGCATTTCTTTTCTTTCAGGAAAATAAAAATACATTGGGAGATCCAATTACAGTTCTTCCTCATAATGTTTAGTTTGTCCCTAAATAAAAACATTAATAGAATCTTAATTAGAATTTTAAATTAAGCCTGCAATCTTAAACATACTTAGCTGGACATAAATCTTGCTGAAATCAGTATTACTTGCTTCTAAGTATATACAGTTAATTATCGGCACATTAATGTGAAACATAACAGTGCTTCTGTTTGGAAAGAATTAGTATGGGAGACAGAACTTTCCCCCACAGACTCTGCTTCACCACTTCCTGGCCTCTCACTAAGTTTTTTCCTGGTCTTGCAACACTATCATATGTGACCAACTACTGAGCAGTTTCCTATTGATATCCCACAACCCTTGCTTCCAATTACTGAAAAATTTTGCTGGGGCTAGTTTGACACAGCACATCAGCAACATATCACCTTCTTGTTCAAAAAGCTCACAATTGTCCTTGGTTAGTTATAGGTCAGTTGCAATATGGCAGTAGCCTGGATTGGCTGTGGTCATCACTGAGCCCCTATTTGACCAGCACTCAAATATGTCAGATTGCTGTTGAGTCGGTTTGACCCAGTAGTAGCACTGTAAGAAACTACCTTCAGGAGGGAAAATGCACCCTGGGGTTGTATAGGTTCCTAATATTTTTGCCATGGAACCCCAAAACCTGGGGAAACATGGGAGCATAGATCTCTCATGTGTACAAAAGCTAGCATCTGGGTGGTGCTGAAAAATCAAAGCAAGCAGTTCCAAGGAAGAGGAGAGGATGGGGCTGCTGTAGGATGCCAATCACAAATTTGTATGATGAACTGCTAGGGACTAGACGGAAATATGGAACAGAAGGACATCATTCCTCCACTCCAGTGACTTCCCTAATGCCAATTTGCTGAGGGTTTTTGTTGTTGTTGTTGCCTGAAAAAGCCTTACTCAAATTCCTGTTTTGTCATCGTTTTGCACTGATTGGGTGTGCTAGAAATAATACTGCCTGCCATAAGCACACTGGATCTGTGATGTGATGTGCTTAGAAACTTCCCTGCAGCTACAGGAAGGAAAGTCTTCCATGTGTAATTTATACTGAAGCAGTAATTAAAAACTATACTGGAGGAAACCACCTTAGACAAGGATCTAAGCCGAATAAGAGAGTCAAGGCTTTAAATCGAAGTTCAGTTATGTGAAGTCTTCAAACAGTTGGGGGGGGGAGTATTTGGTGAATTTCAAGGTGACCCAAGTCAGTTATCTAAAAATAGGAAAGATCTTTCCTGCATCTCCAAACATTTGTGTGTTTCCCCCTCCGTCCAAATGTATTTGAATACGGGTCTTATGTCTTCTGCTGTATTCTACACCCACTTCTGGCAGTTAACAGTAAGAGCCCATTTATAATTCTGGATACCGTAATGGCAACATTCATTTTTATGGGTCCCATCTTGCTTAGTGTGTGTTTAATGTGAAGTCCAAAGGGTTATAAAGAATTACAGTAATTATTATTTAACACTGCGTTTAGAAATACTCTCGCTCCCAGAGGAATGTGCTGCTTAATAGTCAGATTTGACTGTGATCAGGCAGGCTCACGTATGACCAGGCATAGGTAGCACCCCACAACATGACCAAGATGCTGTGACCTGGGCTTAAAACCTCAAATTACAAATCCATGCCAACCGATTTGGGTTTGGTTGAGTTTGAACCCTGGAGTCTTGTCTCAAATGTTCCCGAGTCTCTAACCAAACAATGCACACAAAAATGTATGTGTTAGTGAAAAGTCTACACAAAATTGCAGATATTCATGAGAATAATGTATGAAAATGCATTCTGTTAGGGGATAGTCATTTTCAAAAATGCAAATACTATATAAGCTTCCATACAAAAATATGTATATTAGGAGAAATGTGCATGAAAATGCTTACTAGATGATAATACAATGTAAGGTTGGTGATTATTTCCCCTCAAACCGTGCCTTGGGAAGGTTAAATGCGAGGCATCTAAGACAAGCTCCTCCAACTCAAGGTCAGTATTTGAGAGGCATCTGGGGGCATCCAAGGACTGGACTGTGATACATGCATCCTGAGAAGTCTAGGAAAAGAAGAAAATATTGCTTATGGTTCTAACAAGTACTAACATATAATTCAGGTTCTAAAAAATCAGTGAAAATAGCTTTCTAAAATCACGACAAACACCCAGAAAATCATAAAACTTCAGGCTAAGGCGCAAACTCAGCATGTACCACTGAGCACCTGGGAATATTCTTCTAATACATGCTTCTTATCCTGATGGAGAAATCACTTATCAAACATGCCTTTGGCCTGAGGGTAAAAATTGTTTATTCTGGGACTCAGCTAACCTTGGTTAGTTCAACCTTTGGAAGAAAAAAAAGTAATAGGCTAGGTTTATTTTCTCACTGGCATTTTGCAGAAGCTGATCAGGAACATAGATTCTTTACAAATGTAGAGAGTTGTATCACTTCAACAGAAGAAGCAGTGGTATATTTTGAGTGACTCCCGTGACTTTCCCCATATCGATTGATCAATTCATATTATTTGTACGACGCCTTTCCAAAGTTAAGACCATGCTCAAGGTGGCTTAAAAAAAGTTACATGACTACAAACATAACAAAAGTAGTCATAAACAATAAATCAAACATAAAAAACACATAACCAAATTGAACAATTTCTACATAAATCGTAAGATACAAAATAAAGATACAAAAAAATTAACAGCAACAACTCCAGCCCAGCAAAACAATACCCCAGCCCAACCCCAGCAGCCTCGGCTTTTGTGGCTGGAGTCAGCTCGGGCCCTGCCCTCCAAGGCCAGGTGAGAAAAGGCCTGCAAGCGAGAGCAGGTCTTCCAGGACTCACCACCAAGATGATATCCACGAGGTCAATGATTAGGCTGTATCAGTTCCTTTAAAAATCAGAGTGTTCCTTTGCACATATGCATTGATAATAGACCTGACAGTTTTGGGGCTTAGAGTGCCTGTTCCAGGACACATTCACAGAGCACAAGCACATGAGATACCATCTTGCACTCCACCGCTAGTGATACAGGAGAGGGATTTATAGGGTGACATATTTTTTGACAGCATTGAATTTTTCTGTCCAAAATATTCTGCCAGCTAAGAACATAATAAGAGCCTTCCTGGATCAGACCAAATGCCTATTATTCAAACATTTTGTTTCCCATAGCAGCCAACTAGACACCTGTTGTTCTCCAGCGACTGGCATTCAGAGGCCTCTCATCCTCTCTGCAGCCATCATGTCTAGTAGCCATTACTAGCTTTATCATTTAGGGATTTATCTAATGTCATTCAAATTGGTGGCCATCCCCTATTCTATGCTAGTGAATTCCACAATTATGTGCTGTTATTCTTATCAATATAGAATCTTCTACAGTTCAGCTACATTGAATGACCGATCAAATTATGCATCAAATTGTGTCTCTGTTCACTTTCTCTGCTTGATGCATGTTTTTTAGGTCTATATCATGTTCCTCCTTACTCACCTTTTCCTCTAAACTAAAAAGCCCCAATCTTCACCCCCAAAACTTTTGTGGGTTTTTTTGTTGTTGTTTTTTTGTAAACAGGCCAGGCTCTTTGTGTGGTGTCCCCCACATTCCCCAATACCCAACATGATAAATGAGGGAGATATTTAATATAACCCCTCCCCTGTCCACCAGTTCTCTGGTTATGTATCCTCTCCCCCTAGGTGCCCCAACCCTATATTTCTCCCTACCCAGCTCTGGGAGTAGTAAGCCAGACTGGGGTGGGGTAGAGTATAGGAGAAGGATCAGTCAGCAATGGAAGGATGAATCAGCCACATCCGCCACTAGGGATGAGGGATAAATTTGATTCAGTTCACATTTAAAGTGAACCTACCAAATCTGCACTTTTTTAAGCATTATTTGAACTAAACCTTTTGAAATTCGCACTTCTTCCAATTTTGCAATACAAGCAATGTGTAGAAAATGCACGTAGTAGGGTTACGTGTGCACTAAAATACATATATTAGTGAAAATAACATACAAATAGGTATTGTATTACAGGAAATTATCTACAAAACCATGTATATTTGTCAAAATAGCATACAAAAATGTGTTTTGGGGGGATTTTCTCAGATTGCTGTGGAAATGTGGAAATTTAAGATTAGGAAGCAGAGAAACAGAGAGAACTGGAATTGAAGGACTTACTCATCCCTATCACCCACCCACCAATTCTCCTCTGCCAGAGTCCTTGCCCTGCCCATACTACCAAGCTTGCCAGGGTAGTACATTGCTCTTACCAGCTGTTAATCCAATTCTTGTACATGGCTTCTTGCCTGTATGGACTTTTCCATTCTTACTGTCCATGGCAACCTCCCGTTGCAAACTGGGTTTTCTCAGGCTGCTTGTTGCTGTAATTTTGAGATCCCTCATGGGAGCCACCAAACAGAAGCAGGCTCGGCGGTACTGGCGGGAGAGAAAGGAGCTCTTTATTGCGATATAAACTCGCCCAAAAATCTGGGGCCATTCCAAGCCAAGCAGCAAGACGGCACAGCCAGCATTTGTTTGGGGGTAGGAGGGAATCGGGAACAGGCAGTATGGCATACAAATGAATCCCACAGAAGGCAGCTGGCTCTTGAGCTAAGTGTGTCACTATTGCTTTTGACACTAGAGACTAACAGCAGAAACAAACAAGCAGGCTCAAAGAACTCTAGAAGCAGAAGGTGCTGTTTACCATTCAGCAAAAGCTAAAAGTTCGGTGGGCATGCTGTCTCTCCTCTCCCTTTGTATGCTCCTAAGAAGCGACATGGTTTTTAGAAAACAAAACATAGTCATGCTTTTATAAGGAGTCCTTGAAGAAGCCAGACTGGATTATTTTCCTCTAAGCCACCCCTTGGAATCTCATCTTCTTCCGAACTGCCCATAATCTGAAAATATGTATTTATTATTACTTATTTATTTATAGATATAAATAGCTCCATCTCAACTCTTTTTTCCACAAAGTTGCTGGCAGTAGGAGAGTTGCTACAGAGTCACTCTGGTACCAGGACAGAATGTTCACCCTGGACGTAAAGAGACTCAGGTTCAAATATGCTGCTGTGAGACTGACTTCATGGAGCAACACACCAAGGGTCAGTTCAAATGCTACAAAATGTGCAAACGGTCTGCTTGGGTGAGCAACCAGATCACGTGGCAAGACCAAGCAACTTTGCAAGCTGGCAATACAGGAGTCCATAATGTACACAAAAGTAAGAACCAAGAGAAGACCTCCATTGCTCTCCAAAACTTGTATATCAAAACATCTGATGGACTACACATCTCTCCATTGATGGCTATTATATTCTTTCAATATCCAAGATGAACAGCAAATAGTTTGCAGCAAATGTGCTCTGCACTGTGGGTTGTATCCAATGTCAGACCTACTTAGAATAACCTCACTAAAATTAATGAACATGACCACAGAAAGAAACATCTTCTTCCAATAGATTATAATTATATCTTGAAAAATGTTTTGGGGAATGCTCTATTTAAATATAATAAAATTTCTGGAATTTTGAAACTGGGAAGGAAAGCTTATAAATTTGTTCACAAAATTGATGTAATAGTGCAATGGATAGGTATCAAAGCTAAACTTAAGATCTATGAAATCTCTGCTTAGCCCTAGATTCACTGAGTATAGAACCTGCAACCTCAGTTTCCCAAATGAAAGCAGAGATTAACTATGTACCCTTCAAAGACATGTGTGATAAACTTCTGTATAGAATTTTTTTAATGCATAACGGAAGAGTTTTACCATAAATTGCAGGTTACTTTTGAATAGTGTTAATAATATTCATTTGATTTTTCTTCTCCATTATTTCAAACACACGTGCAGCCTTTCCTATCGCCACCCCACACTGAGCTTTGTTTGTTCTAAAAAAACTTCCTTCTTCTTTATTGTTATTTATTCAATTTTGGTTCTGGGAAGGAATAAAGAGTGTTAATACTACTGGCAACCTAGTTGGAGCCTGTGTTTATTTGTAATAAAAATAAAATTCAAATATGATTCCTTTAGCAAATAGGAAATGAAATATTAATCTGAATTTTCATGCTTTCCACAAGAATAAAGTCAACCAGCTTGGCTTCCGAAAGGAAAACAAAAATAACTCAAAATGTAAATTTAAAAATATATATATAATCATGGGAGAGGGGTGGGAAACTTGACTGATTGAGGTTAGCAGTTCTGCATCACTTCCTCTGCAAACGCTAGGTAGCTTACGTTGATAAGGAAAGGCAGTGAGTCAGTGAACAAGGTGGGTGCTGAATGCATGTGATTAGCCACCTTGGTTGTGACCCTACCTTAAAACTAGTCATGGAAATTGCTCACAGCTATACCATTCTAGAGGGACGCGGGTGGTGCTGTGGGTTAAACCACAGAGCCTAGAACTTGCTGATCAGAAGGTTGGCGGTTCGAATCCCTGTGACTGGGTGAGCTCCCGTTGCTCCGTCCCTGCTCCTGCCAACCTAGCAGTTCAAAAGCACGTCAAAGTGCAAGTAGATAAATAGGTACCACTCCGGCGGGAAGGTAAACGGCGTTTCCGTGTGCTGCTCTGGTACACCAGAAGCAGCTTAGTCATGCTGGCCACATGACCTGGAAGCTGTACGCCGGCTCCCTCGGCCAATAAAGCGAGATGAGCGCTGCAACCCCAGAGTCGGTCGTGACTGGACCTAATGGTCAGGGGTCCCTTTACCTTTATACCATTCTAAGTATGACGTATCAAAAAGGCTGTTGCCAAACACAGGGCTGTAGCTAGGGGGTGGCGAGGTGGGCCCTCACCAGGGGCACAGGCGAGGGGGCGCGCAAAATCAGCTTTAAAATAAATATCGGCTTTAAAATAAATATATCTATAAATAAAAATATTGACTATTTCCTCATAAGAAAAGGTTTTAAACAGAGGGTTAATTGAATGGGGGTGGGTTGGAGGAGAGGTGGAAAGAAGAGCTAATTTGTCCGTGGCTAGGGGGTGCAATCTGGACAGTTTTGCCAGGGGCGCAAGATCACCTAGCCACTGCTCTGGCCAAACAGGATACCCTAATGTGCTTCTATAGTACAGGGAAATAACAGTATGTGATCTTCTGTTTGTTTGGGGCAGGGGGTATTCTTCCTGATAACAATGCAACCTCATTTTCTGTATCCAAAGATGACTTTTCACTAGGAACCTAACAAAGTTACAGGTACAGCCTTTCAAGCTTGCCCATATTTCAAATCCTCTCTGTGTGTAGATTCTGCAACCATTCAGTGCCGAAGTCAGGCAGACACAGGAACACAGGAAGCTGCCTTATATGGAGTCAGACCATCATGGTCTGGCTAGCTTAGCATTGTCTATCAGCATCTCCCAGTAGGACTGGGAATGCCTCCAGTTTGAAACCCTGGAGAGCCCCTGCCAGTCAGTGCAGGGAGTGCTGAGCTGGATGCAACAATGGTCTGACTCGGTGTAAGGTAGCTTCCTTTGTTGAGATCCCCTCCAGATACTTACAACTGCCTTCTCTCTTCCTTGCCTTGATTACTCATCCCTTGCCCATTATTGTAATTTGAAATTAAACTGAAATGCTTTTTCATTGGCTGTAAACGCTGCTTCATGCAGTGTAGTAATTCAGGTGATGCTAGTGTGGAGATTTGCCAGATGCCATCAGACAGAGGCACTTGCTTTTGTTCAGTGCCTGGGAGTAATCGTGCCTATTTTTCAAATTGAAGAAGTAACTTTTTTGAGCTATTTTAGCTTGTCTTGCCCTGGCGTTGTAACTTCATCTTTAGCTATTTTAGCACTTTAGTCGTAGTAATTTGATATTTTAGTGTTTCTTCTCATTTGGTGCAGTCTGCTCATTTTTTCTCCCCAGATAAGCCTTTTCATTCATTCAATATTGCCCATTTTGACCCTCAGCAGCTTCTACCCAGTCAGTTATATATTTCTTTAAGTGTTTCGATCATCTTCTTGGAAATATTTCCTGTGTTAACCATAAAAGGGGGGTGTCAACATTGGTTCAGCTCCTCTTTGAGGAAAACTTCCTACTTTGTGATTTGTACTATGATACAGACACCTGAACATATTTTGGAACTGTTGTCCTGAAGACAGGCAAATAGTTCAGTAGAGAGGCAGCAGAGCCTAGCACAACCCACCTGCGAATCACAGGACACCTTTACATCTTTGTATTGTGGGAAGGAAATAGAACCCCTGTGACCCATGGGGGGGGAATAACAAAAGAATCTGATAGGTGCCTGGATTCAAAACATGGGGCTAAACTCACACTCCAGCAGAATAGAGCCCCAAATATCAGAGTTTAAACTCACAAAAGTCAAGCAGCAGTATAGCATTAGGAATATAGGTTGTTAGACCCTTTTGTCCCATTTAGTCTGCTTGCAAACAGCACTCCCCTCTTTTCTACCCCTCTTGCAATGAACAGACCGCAAACTGCTAAGTAAGTTAAAAATGTTTTACTTACAGATTCAAAGGTCAGATTTGCATTTATCCAAGCAGCAGCAAGGAGAACATGGGCAGAATACTCTTGGGGAGAAAATACAGAAAGACAGCTTCAAATACATGCTCTAAGCTTGGAGCAAAGCTTAGACACATCCTTCCTCGTTGGTTACATGGCACAGAGAGGGCGGGGGACAGGAAGATAAAGCTTCACTACTTCCCTTATCAGAGAGAGAGGGCATGACCTAGCTGAGTCTAGGAATCTAACTATGTGGTCTTAACCCCTTCATGCTCTAACTAGCACTCATGCCTAGTTATGTTTGACTGCAATTTCCCATGATTATGGTATCAGATGGCTCACAGTGGGAAACACTTCGTAAATGCCCAACATCCAGCTGGTCATTAATTGATCAGCTGGTTCTTGCATGTTAAGTCTCCTGAGAGATAAGTATGAGACATATATTGGCCCAGGTAGATCAGTTGGTATATACAGGGGCGGGAGCCAAATGAGCATTTCCCAGGTGGAATATTAATGAAAGATCAGGGTAATTGCTGGACTTAACCCTATTGGATTTTTGCTTGCCCTGTCACCAACATGCCCCATTGTTTAAATATAGGTTTGCCCTATCTGAAAGTTAGTGGCCTTTCAGCAAAACAAATTGGGACAAAATTCAAGCTTCAGTGTTGTCCGCCCCATCCCACCCCAAGGTAGATTTTGTTCCTATTCTATTTTAAGATGCATATTTTTAAAATAAAAATACCACACAAATAAAAAATCGCCTCCTCAGAACATTTGCTGGCAAAGCATGGCTTCAGGCTTGCTGCCTCTGCCCCAGCAAGGCAAATCAGTCCCTTGCCATCAGCCTAGAGGTTGCAGAGTGTCAGGGATGCATCCTTTGAACTACAGCCAGTGCTTTTTCCAGGGGGTACTTAAGGGTATGCAGTACTGGCACCTCATTTGTTGTTGTTGTTTAAAAAGTGTGGTACTTACTGTAACAACTTCATGATGAGTAATACCACCTATTTTTCTAGGGGGGGAAGCAGCGACCGCAGCAACTGCAATGTAGAGTCCCATATCAATGTTGCCCTCTGTCAAGTTTTCTTTAGGAAACAATGAGGTCATTCAGGGCATCCTGGAGCTGACACAACGCCACTCTTTTCGTCTGTCTGCCTAGGCTGCCAATGGCCATGTGTGCAAGACCAGACAGCATAAGGTAAACAGGTTGTGGGACCAGCACCAGGGAATTCCAAGTAAGGAGTCAGCAAGATCAACAGCAGAAGTATTAGAAACTAAAACCAGATCTGCGTTGCGGACACAGGTCTGCCCACCCACACCCATCCATGAGATTCCGGCGGCAATTGCCTGCATTAACTACTGAAGCAACCTAAACTGTTTTAGCATGCCATGATGAAACGGGGATGTATGGTAAACTCGTGTTGATAACAGACTTGTTTCATCCCTGTGATTTGCTTCGAGGGTGAACTCATGTGAGCGGAAGGCTTGTAGTCAGAACTCAGCGCTGAGAAAGCAGGGGGCTGATTCAGGATAAATATATGAGCACTTTGAGGTGATATATAAACATTTGGCTAAATCAATAACCCTGTGAGGTTCAGTCTGCTCTAAAAGATTGTTCTAAATGTCTCAGATACAAGCACCTCTAAGAGTTGCTAGCATTTTTGTGTATAAAACGACATAACCATTGCAAGTTCAAGGTGGCTATAACTTCTTTGGCTACAAATATGTTCATTGTACTCCTCAGAGCCCCAGCTTTCTGTGGATTCTTACTGGTTCATCAGAAACCCATGTAAAGGTTTTGCTAGAATTACATGTATATATTTACCTTATTTACATGGTACAGTGAACTATAGTAAATGGTTTGCTGTGAATGTGCCAGTCTGGGCCACTTGGTTCCTTCCTGCTACCACACAAGAGAAACGAATTACAATTTCTGGCTTAGCATTATGTCCAAACCAGGGGTCATGGTTTATTTCCTTTCAGACAAACACGATGATCTGCAGTACAGGTTTGTTCTTGACTAGTGATTGTGGTTTGCGCACCCTGTTTAAGAGGAGCAAACTGGCTCGCCTGATACTGAAAACAAAGGTTCAGACTCTCTCTGTGTTTGTATTCTTCTTTGGCCTCCATACACACTGCCCAGGCTTGTGCCCCAGGGAGGTCATTCTGGTGCTGCTAATGCAGCAAAAACAATGCAAGAGGCTGCAGTTTAAGTTACAATTCTCTGCAGCCACAGCAGGCACTGGGATTCTCCAGCGGGATGACTTCACCCCTGGAGGGAGTCTCTCAAGGTCTGTCTCTCAAGACAGATTAATGTCAACAATGTGTGAATCAAGAGAGGAGGAAAAGCAACACTTAATGACTGGTAATCAGGAACAACCAGGTATTTCCCAGCTTTGAACCAATGATGCTCAAGGCATCTAACAATGGTACAAATAAAATATGGAAAGATAACAACACTTTTTAAAACACACACACACACACACATACATAAGTAAGCCAGGTAAACATCAATAAAAACAAGTTTCAACATATTTAAAAGTCATCTTAGAGGCCAAAGTTCTGGCTAATATCTTTGCCAGTTGGTGGAAGGTCATCAGAGACTATAATAGCTAGGCTTTCCTTGAGCGGGTCCTCCTAAGGAACCATTTGGAGAAAAGTGGGGGGGGGAGTTTGTCTCTCTACTCTAAAGATGCCATAAGCTCTATCAAAGTGGGTCCCATGACACATGTGCAGCCGCATCACATTTGCAACAGCAGTGGAGAGGACATGTTAGCTTGGGGGAGAATTTCTTGTTGCAGAGTGACACAGAGTGTTCAGATTGATAGAAGATGAAATGTGATCTCATTTACAGCAACCAACGTGTTACCCGCAACGCAGGGGTCTGGCTCCCCCGAACCCAACCGAGCATAAAGTGTTATGTATATTGTGCAAAAGGACAGGCAATCATACAGCCATGCCATTCTAATGTCCCTTCCCACAGCAGTGCCTGCATTAGGAGGCAAAAAACAAAGCAAAACAAAACAAAAAACACCAGCCTCCTCAAGATACTTTCTATCCCCACATTCTCCCCTCTCACCTCTTGCCTTCCCTCTTTCATCTGCTGGGAAGGGATCTGCACATTCTCCACCCCCTCAAGGCACAACAGAGGAGACTGCTCCCAGCTGTGCCACATCAGCTTTGAAAAAGCCTAGCAGGATCCTAGCATGAACAGGAAGGCACAGTGTAGTAGCTGCAGGGCTTCCCTAAGGCCTGAAAGGGTCACAAACAAAGCAGAAGGGCATTTTTGAATCCAACTTCCTTTCTCCCTTGGTAAAGGCAGTCGCTGCCTTGCTGCTTCCAGAGAAACCAAGATGCAATACAAGGATACTTTTTGTGGACCAATATTTTGCTGGAGTTGGACAGAGTGCAAGTGTAGACATACGGCAGCTCTGCATTTTGGACTCATGTGAAATAGTGTTCACTGGTCAAATGCATGATCCTATATGTTCTATGTGCTGAAGGTTTCATGAACTTGCCATTCATTATCCATCCTAAGGGTTTAAGGCTTATCCGGGCAAACATGGGTTAACTGTACCTCAATTGCAGTTACCCTTATTGTGCAATCCCAACTCAAATCCCTCTCCCTGTTATATAAGTTCCCCAGGCGAGAGGTTACACATCAAAGGAAGGCTGTTCTCAGCATTTGGTCAACATCACTTCCTTATGATCAAAGGAAGGAGCATGAAATTGACATGAACCCTTTTTATTTGAAAAGGGCAGATGAATTGGAGGAGGGACCACAAGGTGGCTGTGAAATGGTGGGTACATGACATCTTTCAATTAAGATGTCATGGGAACTATCCAGTAGCTACCTGTAACACTACTACAAAATCCAGCCCACACAGCACTCAACATATTGTTCAACTATTGCAGGTTGGGAGAGAGATCAGGTTGTCTCAGCAACATTTGTGGTCTGATGGCTGGGAAATGCACAACAGGAGCGCCACCTTGAGGAGAAAGGTCAGGATCACCCACAAAACTTAGTACAGGTAACTCACAACTTATGTGAGGGCTACACTCTGGGCTAGCGTGCCTATAAGCCAAATTGTGTAAAGCCAGAACACTTTAAAAAAATAAAAAACTAGAAAACTGGGGAGGAGGGGAATCACAACACTAACTGGTGAGGGATGAATGTAGCTTCCAGTGTACCTCTTAGTCTTCCTCCTTCTCTCCCTTGCTGGATGCTGCTACAGATATGACCAAGGGGATTGACCAGTAGCCAGAAGAAGTGCTTGGCTGTGGTTCAGACCCAGAGGTGGGTTGCTTGGGCACATCTGCTGCTGCTGGTGCTTTCTTAGTGAGGAACATGGTGATTGGCAGCTACTGCTGTTGACTCTTGAGCTCATCAAACATTTCCTTGTATGGTCTCAGAGTGCCTGGAGCCCCACAGAGGATCTTGAAGCTGCATTCCATGGAAGGATCAAACTCTGCAATCAGATCTTTATAACTTGGAAGAGTTGAGACAATTCCTGCAGCTTGCTAGCTCATGCTCCCCACCCCTATCCAGTGGCGTAACTAGCCGCTCAGGTGCCTGGTGTGGGAGCGTGTCCTGCAGCTGGGGGCGGGACGAGCCACCCATGGGGGTGGGGCGAGCCTCTCTGACACTTGGAGCCTCTCCACCGCCTCCTCCTCATCTGTAGGGTGGCTGAGGGAGAGGTAGTAGGCAGACGCAAGTCCCACACTGCTGTTCCAGGCAGTGCGGAACCTGCAGGCACCTAAGCCACCACGTCACTCCTATAAAGTTTCGTGAGCCCAATTTTTTATTTTAAACTCATTTTGTCACCTCCCTCAGTGATGATACCCAGGGCGGACCACACACCCCACACCCCCTTCCTCCAGCACTGCCCCCATCCTCATCCTTGCACTCTGAACTTAATATGACCAGTTTCCCCATCTCTTAAACAACCAATACCCATTGGCCCTCAATTAGCTTTTGCAGTTTTTCCTGGATGACACCAACAAACCCATCACACCACTTGCTTGGCCAACTGCATAATGTCCTCCACCTCCATGGCAGTGCTCAAAAATTCCTGCATATGTTAACTAAGCATAAGTTGCGAGTTACCTGTAACATCAGCTCTCCTTTCAGAAAATAAGTTTGATTCCCTTGCAAACAGTTCAATTACTGCCACAAAGCATCAGTATTTGCAACCAATTTTTCCCCATAACTTTCCTTTTTATTCTGTCTTTCAAAGGTGTGTTTTTTTTTTGGGGGGGGGGATGTGTCAGGAAGAATATAAAGTTGTTGCACTCCTACAGGAATAAAAATATGGTCCAATACAGAATACTGAATTTGAATATTTGTTACCACTTCTCCCCTGCCATATCATCAAGAGGAGGGCTGGTTTTACATCTGGTTCTATTCTCAATAGAAATTATATATTTCCCACTGATTCAAACTTGTTGCTGTTCAGAATGTATATACTGCCCTGCAATGTATGCATTGCAAACATCACCTGGCAGTGTATACATTACCGATTCCTACTGAAATCAATAGCAAAGACAGTGCTGCTTTTAAAGGAAGAAGGTTTCAGTTTAGCCCAAATTACACGCGATGGAGACAGACATCGCTCTGGGTGGTCTGGGCGTTTATTCTGATACTCCTGTAAAATTTACCCTGACAACCATTTCTCTGCTGGTGCAATCCTCTTCTGATTTGTGCTGAAAATCATGCTTCCGGAGCACATATGTGATGAGGAAGAAGGCACACAGGAGGTCCTTCCCTATGATAGTTTTATGTCACAAAGGGGTTGTTCAGATCTGATTTTTCTGTAGGCACATTTACTAGCTGTACAGAGCAGAGAATTAAAGTAGATACGCACACACTTGGAAGCGCTTCAGTTTGGAGTTTCCTAAAAGCACTTTCATAGACATCATTTTGCAAGTGTCCACACCTGCACACTATGTAGGCAGTGTGAATGGTTGTTAAATCATTGCTGTCTGCACACATTAGTTTCCTTGCTCCCTCCCCTTTCAAGCCCCGCTGCACTCCTTGAAAAAAAATATATCCTACAAGTTTATTGATATATCGGATGTTTGGAAGGGCAGGCTGCATGCACAGTTAAATTGCTGCACTCAGCATATGCCCCCAGGCTTTCTTTCCTCATACCATGCAGGCAACCTCATGCCTAAATTTTTTCCCCCCTTTTGGCAGGGCATTCTGTGTGTGCTCAGAGGCTGCTTGTTCTGGCACCACACAAGGCTAATAACAGACTTCAGTGAGTTTTATTGCAAAGCACCCATGGTACAGTATGCTCAGAGCCTCCCTACCAGGCAGGTACAAGAAACATGACACAGTTTGATATACTGAATGAGGAGTGCAAAAAAGGCACTTCAGGATTCTGACATGTCTGCTCCCTGTTACACCAACCGATTCAACATTGTGGCTTCTTAAAGGGCAACATGCAGCTATGTTTTTTAAAGGGCAATGCACAAAATGGATGCACCTCAAATCTATCAAATTGCCATCCTAATCAGTTAAATAATATGGTTTGGGGTGGAAAAAATTTATAGTGATCACAACATGAAGTTGATCAAAGCTTCAGGATGTTGATAAACTAATAATAAATGGTGAAAGCCAGCCCCTTTTCAACTGTGTTCAAAGTACAAAGGAGGGAAAAAATGATGGTGGCTATTTATGCCTGTCCTTTTCATACATACATACATACATACATAATTTTATTTGTTTGTTGCCTTTCCACAGTTCAAACCATGCTCAAGGCAGCTTACAACATGAAAAAATACAATAAATAAAACATTAAAAGTACACAAGCAAACTGAACAATTTCCACATATATCACATGAAGATCTAAAATAAAGGTACAAAAAACAAATAACAGCAATCCTGCCCCCACAACAGCTCCAGAGTCTGTTCAGCAGTCTTAGCTTTGAGCACAAATACTTCTGCCCCTCCTTTTAAAGAGCAAAACATTGGTGGAAATATGGTTTTTTTAGAAAACCTTAATTATTTTCAAGGTAATTCCTCCCATATACCAAATGGCTTAGGTATCTCTCAGGTGACTCTTTATGGAACTGTGCAGGGTGGGGTGTGTGGGTGTGGGTGTATAGCGGCTACACAAATGCTGTCCAACAATGGCATAAGACCCTCATGGCAGGGGTGCCAACTTGAACAAAGTATTGGGGGCAGGTAAGCCCCACTCCGCATAATCTGTCACAACATGCAGTACACACGTCATTTGTTTGGCAATACCCATCAATTTGGGGGGGGCGCCCCCTCAAATATTTTATTGAGGGGGCGAAGGGACCTTGGCCCCAAGGAGTTGGCTCTGCAGAAGGCAGTGCAGAAGGCGGCTTATGCCTGTGTGTACACACCCACAATTTGCCATGCAAGCGCCACATGCTGAAATCCTTCTGCACGGCGCTGTCTTCTGAGGGTCCTGCCTTCTTTCTGCATCCATCCACCTTGATCAGAAAGAAGAGCACAAAGTGCTATTTCTGTACAGCTGAATAGGTTCTACAACCAGAAGGGATGAATACATCCAGCCCTTACTCCAGATTTCTATGCCAAGCTTGACCTCTCCTTGCTGCCTTTTGTTTTCCATAAAAGGCCTCACCCTCCCCTCTGCCCCCAGGAGCTTTCTTCTTCTATTCCAAGCAGTGTCGGACTCAGCACCCTGTTTTCTCTTCCTTTGCCGGAGAAAGGAGGGGTGGCCTTTTCGCTTGCTCTTTGGTTGTGCCCGTTTTAGAACTCCATCGATTTCCCACCTTACGTGACTTTTACAAATGCTGATGCTTGCTATTAAAAATTGATGTTGCCTTTTGCCGATGCAGGATCTCATCACTTAGTTTTCTTTCAAAAACACCCATCGCACTAATAGTTATACAAGCTCCTAGGTGAAGTGTCTACTCTGCAGTCTGAACAGATTGCCTTCTTTGATGGGAAATGCATTCTGCGAGAAGCAGCAGCAGCAGAAAAAGATTAACAGAACCCATCAACCAGAGATGCATGATAAAATCTTCCTAGATTTCTGCTGCAGGCCACTTCACACATTATCCAAGCCTGCATCTGCCACCAAGTGTCAACTCCATTGTGGGGGGGGCGGTTTATGGCCAAGCCCAGTCTTATGAGTGCAGCTATAAAATGCAAAAGGGAACTGGGAGAACTGAGAACTGGGAGGAAGGCTTGTACCATCTTTGCCTCCCCAGCACCTCCTGCATCTGTCACCAAGGCTGTGAGAGGCAGCAGCAGCAGCAGCAGCCACCCAGTGAGGAAATTCTGGCCTGTGTGGGGCTAATTTCTAGCTGCTTCAACAGAAAGTTCTAAGCCAGGAGAATAAGCTGCAGAATGGCATTTGTTGGAAGATGGGGGGCGGGGTGAGGATGGGGCTTATATACACATTTGCCCTGTTGCAGTGACTGTTATATTATTGTCTATTTTATTGTGTTTTAAATATACTGTAAGACACCTTGAGAGCTTCAGTTAGTGGGCAGGGTATGCATGCACCTAAATAAATGAGCAAATCATAAAACTGTAGAGCTGGAAGGGGCCAACCCCTGCAATGGAGGAATCTTTCACCCAACGTGAGGCTTGAACCCATGACACTGAGATTAAGGGGTCTCGTGCTCTACCAAATGAGCTCTCTGTATGATTTAGTCCTATGAAGTATGATGGGTTGAGCAATAATGACCAGCTCAAGGCTATCCTATGAGTTTCATGGGCGATCAAGGATTTTAACCCAGGCCTCCACGTCTGGGCTCTGACCATTATACCACACTGGGGTGCTCCCTATTGACCATGCAATATATGGACCTGAAGTCCTTAGTTAGTCATCGCTTCCTGTCCTGTTAACACCTCAAGTCTGTTCTTTCTCACAGGTGTTCATACTGCCTGGTTTCCTTATAGCTGATCAGGCCATCAATTCATTTAGGTAAGGATTGTCTCCTACACCAAAGATGGGGGCCTGCGGCCATCAAGAGGTTGTTGGATTTCAGCTGTTGAATTCCAGCCAGCATGGTCAATGGTTCCCCCAGCTACACTGACTGGCAGCTGGTTCCCAGGGTCTCAGAAGGGGGTCTTACCCAGCACTACCAAGAGATGTTCAGGATTGGACCCAGGACCTTCTGCACTCACAATACATGTCCTACCTCTGAGCCACAGTCTCTCCCTAGTCTGACTCAGTGTTTCAGCCTATTGCACATTGCCCAAAGAACTCCTTTTTAGCAGCTTTAGGAAGATCCAACAGAGATACCAAATAAACATTTCAAAAATAAGGGAAGCCCCAGAGCACGATGGTGTCTAAAACAGGGGACATCCATTATGGTCTGAACTGTAATGTGGCAAAGTGACGGACATCTATTGTGTCCCAAAGATCTGTGGTGTGAAATAAGAGACATCTGTTGTATTCTAAGGAGCTAAAATATGCAGAAATAAGAGGCAATCTTGAATTTCTGGCAGCCCTAGATAGAATCACTGATGGAGCTGAAGGCACTCTTTAAACTCGGAAATCTGATATGGCAGATAAAAGGGTGGAATTCAGCATCACGCTAAGGTGATCTTTCCACCAGTGGAAGCATCAGGCAGAACAATCTCCCACCTGTGGCATCTCTCAACTCTTCCTCAAGCAGATTTGGGGAGGGGGACATGTGGCACATGAGATGTGTGTGCGCTCTTGCTATTCAAATGTGGCAGGAAGTTGGAAATTCTACTAAATGTGCTCATGTTTTCAGGCAAACCCTAAAGGACTTCTTTAGATTCTGGTTCTTCATATTACAAGTAGAGAGGTAAAGGTAAAGGACCTCTGGATGGTTAAGTCCAGTTAAAGGCAACTATAGGGTTGCAGCGCTCATCTCGCTTTCAGGCCGAGGGAACCGGCGTTTGTCCACAGACAGCTTTCCGGATCATGACTAAACCACTTCTGGCACAACAGAACACCGTGACAGAAGCCAGAGCACACGGAAAACCATTTACCTTCCTGCCGCAGCAGTAACTATTTATTTACTTGCACTGGTATGCTTTCGAACTGCTAGGTTGGCAGAAGCTGGAACAGAGCAACGGGAGCTCACCCCATCGTGCAGATTTGAACCACCAACCTTCTGATCAGCAAGCCCAAGAGGCTCAGTGGTTTAGACCACAGCGCCACATCCCAAAGAGCCAAATCCCAAAGAGGACAGTCAGAGGGCTTGGTGTGGAAGAGGGAATTTCAGCAGACGTAGCCGGAGAGATGCAACAGCGTCATATTCCACAACATGTGCCCCGGGAGCAGCGACTGCATTCATTAAAAAATGCTAGCAGAGTGATGCATCACAAGCAAAAGGGGCTTCAGTGTAGATGGGGCCCAGGCTATCTGAAAAATCACATTCTCCCCAGTTAGCCTGCTGGCATCTTAAGAAGGAGAGAGATGCGTGGGATGCATCTTCTTCCTGCACTTTTATCAGTTCAGCAAGTTTAAACTGATAAGGACTTGGCTCAGTTGAGCTGCCCTGGGAATTTGTTTGAAGGATAAGATACCCAATACACACACATGGAGAGAGAGAGAGAGAGAGAGAGAGAGAGAACAATCTCTGAAATAAAATTCCATAAATACATCCCTTCCCTATAGGACTGCTTTCTAGCCATTCTCAATGGATAGAAGCTAAAGCTCTGGAAGCTAAAGCTCTGGCCTCAACCTATGCAGAAGGAGGAAGCTTCCTCTGCTGCTCACGTCTGAAACAACTAGAGCTGAAGTGGGGGGCATTTTCAGCCTGAGGCCCACATTTATTCCCTGGGAGAGCTTCCACGGGCTATGTTGGGTGGAGCAACGGATGTACATTTTACCTCTGTACGGTAGTCCAGTTTCTTCACACCCACACCCACACACCCCTCTATCCTCTGCCCAGGCAAGCAAAGTCATCTTCACAGAATCATAGAATTGTAGAGCTAGAAGGGACCATGAGGGCCATCTAGACCAACACTTGGCAGTGCAGGAATCTTTCACCCAACATGGGGCTCAGACCCACAAACCTGAGGTTAAGAGTCTCGTGCTCTACTGACTGAGCTATCCTGAGCACGGAGTTTAAGGATGCATTCCAGCCAGGCATAAGCACCCTAGGAGGATATGACACAGGTTTGGTGAGTGAGCGTGGCCTGACGTGGCTGGGGAGCTGGTGTGGATTGAGGAGAATGTCAAGGGCCACACAGAGGGGCCTGCATTTGGGCCCCCAGGACAGAGGTTCCCCACCCCTGTGCTTGAGGCGACTCCTCACTTATGCAGGGGTTCAGTTCTGGGGTCCTGCATGCACAAGTGAAATCACGTAAAGTTGGGAGCACCCTCTAAATGCCCTTTAAACTCCCTCTCTGCCACTCTCTTTCCAATCCAGACCAAAAGTACCATATCCCAAAATATCCACAACTGGAATTGAAGCTGTGAGGTGGGGAGGCTGAGCAGCATAAACAAAGCCCAGCTGTGGCTTCCTGCGCCCTCATTTACATCCTCTTCAGGCTTTGGGGAGGGTCTCCTCACGAGCCACGAGGTCTCCCCGGCACTCTCCTGCCCTTTCTGGGTTTGAAACGAATTATTTCTTTATTTCTCGGTGCTGTGCATATACACAGCCACACACGATCGCGCGTAAGTGGGAGGGATGCCTGTACCAAATCCAGGACAAGATCCAATGGGGCTCAGATCCTTCTGGATGTTTCTGTATAAACAGGAAAAGACATCTAAGCTTCTGGTGGTGCCAGTCAATGCAGGGCATGCTTCTGGTTGCAAAGCACAAGAAGATAAAAGGATGAAATCCAACCTCTCACACAATCTGTGCCACGCTGGAAAATAGCAGGGAAGCTGCTGCACTCTGTGATTCAAAGTTGCTCAACACCTGCCTACATTAGCTCTGCCCAGCTTTGAGCAGTGCCAGCCGACTGCCACTTCCACCCATGGGTGCTAAAAAGACCTCAAAATTAAGAGATTCCCTGGAATGACTGGCACCGAGTGATAAATGGATGGTGGTGTATGGCAGACAAAAATCTATCCAGATTAGGTGAGTAGATGGAGAGGAAACCGCCTGGGAGCAGAGCTGGCCCTACCATTAGGCAGAGGAAGGCGGTTGCCTTTCGGCAGCAATTGAAGGGCATTCATCGGAGTGTCTATAATTTATTGTTAACATATTTTTTTTACTGCCAAGGGAGGGGGTTGCCATTTGGATTTGTTTGCCTGGAGCACTAGATGTCTTAGGTGGTCTTGTCTGAAAGACAAAGGACCTGAGACTCTCGCAGCCTCTAACAAAGGAAAGCCTTTTGTTCAGCTTCCCCATTCAACATTGCATCTGTAGGTTTCTTTGTAATGCAGTAACTCCCTGTGACTGACACTGGTTAATGTCACACGGGACAACATACAGCACAGCAGGTCTTACTGGTAGCCCTTGCAACTGTCTGAATCCGGCAAGGGACCCAGTGTGGGAGGAAGCTCCCCATCCTATGTGGACTGTGATCTATGGGACTGTGCTTGGATGAGATGAAAGAGGAGAAGTAATCCCCCCCAAAAGCATCCCCCCCAGAAGCATTGGCAGAAATTTCCCTAGGCATAAAGAATATCCTAAAATATGTTGGGAACCAATTCACTTGCGCAGTTGCGCTGTGTGGATATGTCCTACTTCTCAAACCAAAGGGCAAGTAGTGGGGGACTTTGCTTCCCCTAATGCCAGAGGTGTCTCTGCTTGAATGGAGAAATTAGGTGAGGCAATAAAAAAGGGGCCCAGGGAACTTAAGCTAAAAGCTGGGCAGTGGAGTAAAAAGTCTCAATTCTCTTTGCTGGGGGGCTCTCTGCTTTATTCCTCCCTCGCCTGTTGCTGTCTCAGACTCCAGACTGGTGTTTTACTGCAAGCTTGACACAGGGGCTGTGTACAAACCATGCATTTAAAGCACATTTAACATGGCTTCCCTCAAAGGTCCCTGGGAAATGTAGTTTACTTTTCACATAAACAGAAGCATAGTGTCCCAACTAAGGGAAGTAATAGTACCTCTCTATTCTGCCTTGTTCAGACCACACCTGGAAAACTGTGTCCAGTTTTGGGTGTCCCAGTTTAACAAGGATATTGACATGCTGGAACGTGTGCAGAGGTGGGTGACCAAGAGGATAAAGGGTCGGGGAACCAAGCCTTATGAAGAACGGTTGAGGGAGTTGGGTATGTTTAGCCTGGTAAAGAGGAGACTGAGAGGAGATAGGATAGCCACCTTCCCCTATCTAAAGGGATATACACCATATACCAAGGGAAGGAGGAGAGGCATTGCAGGGTGACCCATCACACATTGGTGATGGGTTTCTTTTGACTTTGGAGTCACCAGTTGTGAAGAGCTGAATGATAAAGAATTACAGTTTTACTAATAACTGGAGGGAATAAAGTATGTGCTAACGTGTGTAAAACAACCATTACATTGTTACTCTCCCATCCATTCACACAGAGCTGCCAGAGTGTTATTCATTCATTCATTCATTCATTCCACTTGAAGCTCACATTTCCTCCAAACTGCAGTAGTGTCAGTGGGCCAGATTTGATGAAGTGAAGGGCTGTGGGGGCCAACCAAAGTTGTAGTTGACCTTTTATAATTTTACCCCACAGTTGTTGAGCTTTTTTTTAGGCTTGGAGTTTTTAGGGTTGGAGTTTTAGGATTTTAGCCCAGGAAAAAACCTGCCACAGGGGCCAGATTTAACCGACCAGCAGGCCGGATTGCGCGCCTGAAATGGATTTTGGACATGCCTGCTCCAAAGAGATCAAGGTAGCACACATATTTCTCCCTCCATTCTCCCAAACATTATCCTCAAAACAACCCAGTGTGGTAGGAGAGAGGGAGGGAGAGCGATGATTGCCTTCACGGCTGAGCAGAGATTTGAACCCTGTTCTCTCAGGTCCTAGTCCACCACTCTGACAGTTAACCATGACACCACACTAAAGTGAAGCAAACTCACAGACTGGTCTCGGATGTGCTCATGCCCCTCTGTGGAAATAGCCATTCTGCCTCTTCCTTTGAAGGGGAAAGTAGCAATTTTCACAATGGTCTTTCAGTGTCTCTATTGATGTGGCCACTAGAAAGCTTTGGGGGTGTCCAGCATCTCATTTCTTCTTTCTTTTTGGACCACTCACATTACCCTTCCTCCCAGGCTCCCAAACCATCTGAAACTCTCCGACTTGCAATAGTAACCCAGCTGCCTTGCCATCATCGACAGAGGGGCGTCCGTGTGCCTGTGCAGTGGGGATGCATCCAAACATTCGCACACACCATCTGCTCTGGTGAGATACAGGCTGCCTTTATCCCACCCCTCCCAAGCACCTTCTGTCTGTTCCCTTTGCCTCTGCCTCTCTCCCAGCACTGCTGCCTGCTTGAGCAATCTTCAGAGGAGAGTGAACAAGCTTGTCACATTAAAAACTTAATGCAAGACTAATTTGCCAGCCGCAAACAAGTGGCAAACCTTGAGTGCATTTTCTGCCCATTTTACTCCGTTCACCGGGCAGAGGAGGAGCATTTCCTTCCCAGTGTAATGGGATCTGATTCGTTGGCATGGTGATGGGAACATAGCAGTGCTGGGTGTGCAAGAGAGACCTCTCTTGGGGAGCCCGCAAGATCGAAATTGAGGGGGTGGCTTTGGAAGGGCTGGAAGGGTGGGAGAATTAAAATGAAACCAGCCTGGCACCTGTTGCAGCTGTTTCTGGCTTTGAAATTTTGCGCTAAGAGGGTGTGAGACAAGCCAGGATCAGGACCATGAACAACTGAAGGAGCATTTCGGCCTTCACATGTAACTAGACCGCAACAACGAAAAGGAAAATCTGACTTGGCTGCAAAAAGACAACGTAGAAGATGGTAGGGGGAATGTTATACTTTCCCCTTCAAGTCAGAAAAAAGGCCTTGGAAATTCTATTATTCATATTGCAAAACTCCCCCAAAATAAATGAATGGACAGGAAAGACAGAAAAGGTCCAGCTGGAAATAGGATTTTGCCATATGGCAGCCCTGTTTAGGGAAGTTTTTAATGTTTAATGCTGTATTGTGTTTTTAATATTCGATTGGGAGCTGCCCAGAGTGGCTGGGGAAACCCAGCCAGATGGGCGGGGTATAAATAATAAAGTAGTAGTATTAGTAGTAGTAGTATATGCTAAAGAAGCACAGCGTTCAATGAAATGGAAATATTTGGAATGTACAGACTCTCTATGGGCAAATAACAGACAGAAACAGGACACGGGAAAAGGTAATATGCCATGGACCATCAGACTAAGCTGATGACTGCGATGAGCTGCTGCTGTGCTGTCACGAGGGATACTTGTGTGTGATCCTTTCCTACTTAAGCAGGTCTGTTCTGTGGATAGGACTGTAAGCAGCCTGCCTGTGAAATGTGAAACATCTGCCTTATACGCAGAAGGTTCAAGGCCTGGCATTTCCTGGGAGAGCCTGAGGTGTCCCCTGTCTGAACCATGAGGAACAGTAGTCACTCACTGTAGACAAGACTGACATACCAGTCACTTGATTCAGCATGCCTAATGCTTGGGCTGGCCTGCCTATGCCTACTTTAGATGAACTCCATTCTGAAAACCTGTGTGTTCTGGTGTTCCCTGTTGTGCATGCCAGCATGCACCTTAAACCCTTTCTTCCTATCACATACTTCAGGGAAAGCAGCACTGAGAAGCTTCTGGGCCTCATTTTCAGGGAGTTATAATGCTGGAAGTAAAACAGGCTCTTTAGGCTTGTTTAAAGATGTAAGGCAGAAAGTTCTGTCAAGGCAGAAGTCCAGGGCAAAAAAGCAGGAAGACCATTACCTAACTGAACGACACTGACACGTATACACATGGCAGTGGGCACTTACAACTACTGAAGTGAACCCTATAGTCTTGGGTGTGGGAAATGCACACCCAAATCCACATGAGGTACAACTTGATCTGCCTTGATTGAATAAGAGTTTCTCAAACTTTTGTTGCCTAAAGTGGAGGAGGAGTATTGCTGCAATACAGACAGGAGAATGGAAGTACTACTTGACTGAAGCGCTGCCTCAGTGCTATTATAAATGCCATTATCATGGCAAGCCATGAGGTGTGACTATCAGCTTCCCTCGCAGTTGTGGAGTGCTGAGCTCTTTATGTTGAATAGAGGAAGAGAGAATGCAGTTGCCATTTCATTTTCATTTTTTTTTAAAAGGTAGGAATATAGGGAAAAGAACACATCCCAACATTTTCCTGGGACTCTGCCTGGTCTAAATATAAGTTTGAAGCCAGCATAACAAAAGCAACGCAGCTAGAATTTTACAAGGAAAGGACCTCTAATATGGAACTATAATTTGGTTGAGTGTCCAAAACTTGAGCATGGAACTAAACAAGCATCGTTGTGGAGGTTTTCAGAATGATGTATTAGGGAATTTTCTGCTGTGAAGGTGGAGCAGGAGATATATCCATTGCATGGATTAGTTTGGTGTCTTGCATTTAATACAACAGCTGTTATTTGAAATTGCTTAAGCAACATCTAAAATACCTAGAGATAGAAATGTTGAACTGTAGAGTTGCAAGGGACCCCGAGGGTCATCTAGTCCAACCCCCTGAAATGCAGGAATCCTGTCCACAGCCATCCCTGGGTGGGCTTAAATCACCAACCTCCTTGTTAGAGTTGGAACAAGCATGCTTAAATAGAGCATTGCTTCAGCCCAAAGCCACAACTTTCATGTTAACCATGCACAACCCTTGCAAATTCTCACTCTGCCTGCCTTCCAAATGAATATGGGACATTTTGACCTGTGTGCACAGGCCATAGATGCAAAGTTGCACCAATGATGCTTAAAGCCCTTTTGAAACATGGATCTCTTCCTACAGCTAATTTATGGGTGTTTGGCTTAGCATTAAAGCACCGAATCAGAAGAACTGGAAGCCCCTTTACAGCTAGGTGCTAAGGGTTGCAATCATGGGTGTTATTTGCAAAACAGGAGTCAGTTTAAAGCTGGTTTGCACCCACTCGGCATTGGGAGTAATTTCCTACCAGTAAGAGGTGTTCAACAGGGGAACAGCTTGTTTTGGGGAGGGGGTGAAAAGGGGGAAAACTCTTATTTGTTTGAGCACAGGCTGGATGACCATCTGTTAGGGATGCAGATGTTGTCAAGTTGCATCTTGAATTGCATTGAACAGAAGACTGGACTAGATGGCCTTTAAGTCTCCTACCTGTGTGATTCCATGCGTTTTCATTTATTGGCCAATGCAAGAATCAAATCAGTGCTTGCATTTGTAAATAACTCATCACATAGAGCACTTTTGTATCACCTTTGCAGTTTTCAGCTGAAGTAGCTCACATGCGTCTCTCACAGTCATATAGCTCTGACTGCCTGGTTGTCACTTGATTGTTTTTATATATTTGAATACCTGATGACATCCAACCAGCCGTGCAGTTCTATATATGTCTAGTCAGAAGTCCCACTGAGTCCAATGACACTTACTCCGAAGTAAGTGAATACCCACTTACCTGGAGTAGGCTCTACTGAACTCAGCTAGGGCTGTCATACATCTGGGTTTCCCCGCATACGTCCAGGAATCGGACTGTCAAAATGGCGTCCAGGTGGATTGTTGTCAACAACTTTGTCTGGATTTTCATGGCAATCCTCAACTCAGCGAAAGTTTCATCTGAGAAGATATGTATTGGCACGGCGTTGTACATGTCTGAAATGATTCCACTGAAAAGCATTGAAATCTCACATCATATCAATCTGTAGTGCTCTATCAGCAAAGGCCCATTTACCCCCCACAACTCATTGTTTGGCGTTGCCCTCATCAAGTGACATGCATGTACGTGTGAACCAGCCTCATAATCAAGGAAAGTAGTTAACCAAGTTCTGAATAACAGCATAATGTATTTATTTTGTTTTTTGCATAATGGAGAAAAAATCTTTTCTCATTGTTAATACTCTGCCATTATTTATGCATAAATAAAATGCATGAATAAGGTTCATCATTGCTCATTATATCTTCTTTTGCTTTTGCGATTTAGCCAGCAACAGTGCCATCAATGTGCATTTTCTTTTTATCCTATGATGTGCTTATACCGTCACAGACATTTTGCCACTTATTTAACTAGACAATTGTAGGAGACATATGAGTTGGTATTATTTGCCCCCCTCCTCATTAGTTTATGTACGCAGAGTCCCAGAACATCAGGTCCCCCAAGTATTGTCATGGGCAAACTTGGGAATTCTTTCTGAAGTGACATAGCCCAGGAGGGACATTGCTGCCATTTTTGTTCTGCTCCTTTAATAATACAAAAATGTTTGTTTACATCCATCCCTGTGGCTTGGAAAAATGTGGGAGATGGCTGCTCTGGGATTATTATAGCTGAACAAAACCAATTCAGAAGAAAACGTAACTGTTTCATTAATGGAATATAATGTAAACAAACATCCATACATGCTGAAAAATATAACATTAGCCATGGACTTGGGAAGTGTCAGTTCAATTTCCCGTTTGCAATCATTAACTTCTCACCTGCCATAAAATAGGAATGCTGGCGATTAGCAGGGCCCATGATATTATTAAATTGAAAGATTTGTATCCCACCTTTCTGCCAAGTGTATACAGTGGTACCTCGGGTTACAGATGCTTCAGGTTACAGACGCTTCAGGTTACAGACTCCACTAACCCAGAAATAGTACCTCAGGTTAAGAACTTTGCTTCAGGATGAGAACAGAAATTGCGCAGCGGTAGCGCAGCAGCAGTGGGAGGCCCCATTAGCTAAAGTGGTACCTCCAGTTAAGAACGGTTTCAGCTTAAGAACGGACCTCCGGAATGAATTAAGTTATTAACCTGAGGTACCACTGTAACAGTAAACAGCTAACAAAAAACAAAGTGCTGAGGGTTGTTAGAAGACCCCTATTCCCCTCACACAGCTACAGTTCCCAGAGTTCTGAGAACTATAACAAACTACAGTTCCCAGAATTCTTCTTTGAGGCAGGGGGAACCATGGCTGCTTAAAGCAGTGTTTTAAGTGTTTTAAATGTATAGTGCAGAAGGGGCCTAAAGCAGAAGAACTTCTACTGCAGGAGTCAGCAAACTTTTTCAGCAGGGGGCCGGTCCACTGCCCCTCAGACCTGGGGGGGGGCGGACTATATTTTGGAAAAAAATAATGAATTCCTATGCCCCACAAATAACCCAGAGATGCATTTTAAATACAAGGATACATCCTACTCATGTAAAAACACGCTGATTCCCAGACCATCTGCAGGCTGGATTTAGAAGGTGATTGGGCCGGATCCGGGCCCCGGGCCTTAGTTTGCCTACCCATGTTCTACTGTCACTATTCATCATATACCTAGCACCAACAATGTTCCAAGCACTTCACAGAACATTTAAAAGACAAATATATTTTTCTTCCACTTGCCCCAAATCTTTAGTTTCTCTGTGGGCCTTCACATCTCTGCATGGAGATAAAAGTGACAGGGAAAGCTTTATTTGCTTAATTTCAGCTTGTCAGCTGACTGTTGAAAGCAATATCTGCTTGTCAGGCTGCATTCAAAAGCAACAGGGCAGAACCTGTCAAAAAAACAGCAACATGGCCTCAGACCTATCTGTATTTTTTAAAAAAAACATCCTGTCTTGAGTTGGTTTTGTACTGTTCAAAAACTATTTTCACGGGTTTTAGGTTATGACCGCAATCAGGTTGAGGCAGCTAATGTAAAAGTTGAATAATCAAATCAAATAAATAAATAAATAAATAAAATAATAAATAAATAAATGTTTTTTAAAAAATGATTGACCTTCCCACATAAATTTTCATCCCATTCCAGTCAGAGGGCAGGCATGGGTCCACACCTGGTGCATACATTCCTATGCTAGCTTGCTGCCCTCAAGTACAGTGGAAGACACACTCCTTTCACCAGCAATGGAGTAAAATTCAACTACCAGTCCAATTGGCTTCTATGTGTGCTTTGAGGGAGGGCGCTATCTTGTCCTTTGCCTCAGGCAGCAAAATGTCTTGAGCTGGCCCTACATGAAGGACTCAGTGCATTAGCACCCCAGATGGGCTTGTTTCTCCCATATTCACAGCGTTGGAGCCAAACAGAAATCTAGCGTGGCTCTCACTCTGGGGCTCCTGCCTGCTTCTAGTTCAGCTCTCTCTCACACACACTGGATATTGTCGTTCTCACAACCAGAGCAACTTCTGTACTTAGGGCCATTAACTCGCCAAAGAGCTTGCCTGGCTAGTTCAACGTTGGAATCCTCCACTGGATTTTAACCCTTGCTGGATCCAGGACCCTCGGAATTAGAAGAGACTCAGGCATCATACAGACTGACCCCACAAGCTCACATCTATATCTATATCACCAAATCAGGAACTTACGTTTTCCTTATTTTTATTACCATCACCTGCTTGGAAGCTGACATCTTGTCTTTAGAGCCCCTTGGAACATGCTATAGCATCTGTTTCCCTACTAATCTCTGCACCGCAGGCCTGCAGCTCTGATGCAGGATTCACAAGGGACTAATGCTGTGTAACTGAATAGTGTAGTGTTTTATTTCGCCCCCAGGCCTAGTTCTCACTCAGGTTGTAAACTTGTATCTGGGCTGCATCACTTCAGGCTACAGGTGGGAGCTTACATAATTAAATGCTCCCCCTTGCTCCCCCAAAACAAAACAAAAAAAAATCCACATCCAGAAAACAGGGAGTGGGGCAGGAGAGATTTCTTCTTCCTGACATACTGGATTTCTGCACAGAAGAAATGGTTTTGTATGTAGGATCGATCGATCAGTTCAGTCCACCTGTAGTCTGAGACCATTCGACTCCCATTAAAGCAGGCAGGCAACTCTCAAGGATCAGCCTGGTTAAGCTTCAAGAGGAGGCAAGTTCTTAGAATTTTATTGCAGGGGGAGGGATCTTATAATTACCGAATTTTTTGCTCTATAAGACTCACTTTTTCCCTCCTAAAAAGTAAGGGGAAATGTGTGTGTGTCTTATGGAGCGAATGCAGGCTGCGCAGCTATCCCAGAAGCCAGAACAGCAAGAGGGATTGCTGCTTTCACTGCGCAGCAATCCCTCTTGCTGTTCTGGCTTCTGAGATTCAGAATATTTTTTTTCTTGTTTTCCTCCTCCAAAAACTAGGTGCGTCTTGTGGTCTGGTGCGTCTTATAGAGCAAAAAATATGGTAAATATGAGGAGGTTCAAGTTTGTCTTTCTTTAAATAAAAACATTATGGCTGATGGGAATGGGTCATCCACTCTTGATATTACCACTCAATAACAGAGCATCGTTATCTGAGGTCAGTGCATTTTTTTCTGGGGAGATGCAGGGGTAAGTATACCCCTAAACAGTTTGTGAATCTAAGTTTGGCCTCCTTGAGGGGCAGTATTTCAATATGAGTAGGAAAATGAGAGTACCCCTAAAAAAAAATTTAGGGGGGGAAAAAGCACTGTCTGAGGTAATTTGTGCTCCACCATGAAATCTAATAATGCAGACTTACCTGAAAACTAGGTTGTTGCCATCTCCCCTTACACATTGCAAAGAAATGTGCCCCATGCAAAACCCATGACTACCTCTACTAGCGAAGAAAAATAGCATAATTACACTACACAGTGAAACTGGTTCCATAGCCATTCCCTTTTGGGGGACTTGCAATAGTGTTTTCTAGCATAATTCATAGCACTTCATCAAACTACAATTCCCACAATTCTTGAAAGGAAACCAAGGCAATCTGAGTGATCTGAAATCAGTGCTTTCCCCCCTGGAGGTACTCAAGGGTATGTAGTGCCGGCACCTCCCTGCACCAAATGTTAAAAGGCTAGCACTAACTGTAACAACTTGGTGAGTACTGGCACCTTTAGTTCTTAAAAATAAATGCACTGTCTGAAATCATTAGTTTGCAGTGCCCACAGTGTCTAGGGAACAGGAATAATTGATTGCTTTAATGTTGCTTTATTGCACATTTCAATTATGGATGTTTTAATGTGATGGTTTCATTGTGTATTTTAACCATGGTGCACTTTTAATTATGATCTATTTGAATTATGCGTGGTTGGTTTTCATATTTTGTAGACCGCTGAGATGCCTATTTTAGCATTAAGTTGTACATAAATTTGATCATGGTCACGATGGCAACATTCACCTAGTCATAATGCTAAGGAACATTATGGTAAGATCATAATCTGTTTTGAGATAGGTACTATAGTGCTAGAGGTGGGATGCAAATGAGAGCAGGCCACAGAATAGGAAGCCAGAATGCAAAGCAGAACAGGAATTGGTACGGACTGTGTAAGTGACTTGCATTTCCTGGAACAGATTGTGCAAAACTAGCATAGCGGGGGTTGCACAGCCAGGAAGTTTCAACTAGTCAGATGCAAGAGCTACTTGAAAACAATGGGCATGCTTTCGCCAACAGACGAAGCACTCTCTGCCTGTTCTGCTGCCCTTAGCAAACCCTCTTACTTTGCCGCCCCCAACACACACACACACACACACACACACACACACACACTATTCCCCTCTCCCAGTCACGTCACGTCAGGTCCCCTGAGATGGTGCCGCTTGTTCTCTTTCAAGTTCAGCCACAGGCTCTAAAGCAGGTTGTTGCACTTCCAGGGGAAAGCAAAGCTCTCTTGCTTCGAATCGATCCTTGCTCTTGACGGAGCTTTTGAAGATATCTCTGTCCTTTGAGGAGGACATGCTGCTGCCTCTATGGGTGCTTGAGTTGCAATCAATTGCTGAGTGCCACGCACTTCGAGGTCAGAGGCATTAGACTGAGCAGTCTCGCCTGCAGGCAGGGCCCTCGCCTCCTGAAAGCAGGAGCGGAAAGCACTCCCTGGCGTTTGCATCTTCTGGCTGCTAATCAGAACATGGCGGCATAGCAAAACCACAGATCTTACAGAGCCCTCCCTGTAGTGAAAAAATAGATGTCCAAGAGGGTTCATCTGTAGTGTCTTACGACATCAATAAAAGCATTTTAACCCTTTTGGGCCCAGTCTAGAGCAGGGGGACCACACTTACAATGGTGTAGTAAAGTCGGAGTGCTGCAGAGTGAGGCCCCATGATTTCTTTTCTCAGCAGGAGTGGTGGCATCATGTACTGGAGAGGTGTTTGCCCATGTTGCCATCTTGCAGGGGATGGGGGTGGTTGAACGACAGGTCTGACCTGGCACATGAACCCTTTATTAGGGAGGAGAGGCTCAAGCAGAGACTGGCTCAGGGCCATCACACCTAGTGAACCTCATGGCCAATCAGAAATGCGAGCCTAGGTCTCCCCAGCCAAAATCAAACCACTGCACCAACCTTTGCCAGTTCACTATTTTAGGACTGATCCTAATAAATTGGGGGTTTTGCTGCATGATACATGTATATATGCATAAGGCAGCTGGCATGGGTATGGAGTCTCCTTTGTAGGCCCTGCATTTCAAAATGGACCACTACATGCCTGCATTTGCACTGGAAGAAAAGCTTCCATTTCTATCATTGGAAGCTTTTCTTCCAATGTAGCCCCCAACCCCACATCAACCCCTGCCAGTCTGGATCAGTCTGGAAAGGAGTGTCCCCTCCTGCCCATTCCACCATGGTCCCAATCTGATCACCCCACACCCATTACTTACTTCTTTAAAAACCATTAGCATCTCCAAGTACATAGGCAAACAGGAACCAAAGTGGACTTGGAAGGGACCTTGTGAGCATCAGCTTTGAATCTAGCCCTGAGATTGGCTAGTGTGATGATACTGGGTGATTGTATGAGCAGGACAGCACTGCAGTGAGTAACCGTAGCCCTTCCATGGGCCATCAGTTGCAAGGATTCATTAAGGAAGGATCAGGACATCCGCTGAAGAATGCCCTGCAGAAGCCAATTACATTATTGCACAATGGAATTAAAGTGAAAGCAAGAGCAGTGATCCACATTAAAGGAAGCCATTTGATACGGTCCCACGGCCAAGGCTGAGTTACAGGGTCAAGATGACTAGGCAAGAAGCACAGTGCGGGTGATTGATGATAATAACCCTCTACTATTCTATATGGCTTCTTCTTGTAGAGGCTAAAACCTGTGTGCATGCCCTAGAGCAGGGATGTCCATCTGGTTGATCGAGATCTACCGGTCGATCGCGGGGCATTCCTGGTTGATCCTGGTTGTTCGTGTGACCCTGATAGGTCCCCTCCCCCCCTCAAAAAAAAGAAAAGCTCAACAACTTTACTGAAGCCTCTCCAGAAGTAGTTCCACAACTGTGGGTCTCCCTCTCCAAAAAAGTTCAACAACTTTGGTCAATCCAATGAGTTGCCAGTGTATTTATAGTGGGATCTGCGTCTCTTGGGAGTTGGACATCCCTGCCCTAGAGTAATGACAAAGGTCACCCCTGGTCTCTGTTGGGGAGCCAGACACTTCAGCGTTCCCGCTTCATAGAATCATCTGGCTGGCTTCTCTTGGAAAATGGATGCTGGGCTAGATGGACCTTCTTACATCAGTGGTGGGGAAGCTGTGGACCTCCAGAAGATGTTGGACCCCAGCACCGATCAGCCACAGCCGGCAGAGCCAACAGATAGGTGTGGTGGGAGCTGCACTGCTACCACTGATTTTTGTTCTGTATGTACAAGCAGAAGAAGAATGTGGGCTGTCGTTGCACATGCACACTACCCACAATTCATATGGACCTCCATAGCAACTATGATACATAGCAACATAGTATTTTGATGATGCTTTTGGTGTGGCAAGTTGGATCAGCATGGGCATGTTGGGGAGTCATTTCAGTGTCCACTCCCAAGATCGCACCTTCCTCTGGAGGTCCTCCAAAACCAGCACATCAACCATTATAGTTGTGCAAGCATTTGGCTTTGAGCAAGGAATGCCTTTCGATGGTGGTGGTTGTTTTCAGTGCTGTTACCCACTAAGGATACAGCAGATTGGGACTCTGCAACATATCATCATGTCATGAAATCTAAAGCTGAGACTAGGTTTGTAAATATATAATTGGCAAGCTGAGATCTAAAAATGACTTTCCAGTCATTTCAATAATATCACTGTGACAGTGTGCTATAACTTTTTTTTAAAGTGCGGAGATGGAAAGGAGGGGGTGGAAAGAGGGTCCCCCCCTCCTGTAAACACACAGTGAATGAATATGCAAAGAAGACATACGGAAAGGGTCTTCCTCTCACAAACTCTCAGTTTCATGCAAAGGATCTGTAAAGAAAGTCCTATTTATACATCTATTTGAATTTAAGAAGATTGATCACAGGCTTGCTCTGGAGCCCTGCTGCAGCCTGTAAAGTCTCTCTCCTCCACGCAATGGAGCATTATAAATCAGAAACTCCTTTGGTGTTTTCCAAGGAATGCAGGGAGAGAGGCAGTTTTGCCTGCTGCTGTCTTCAGGGCACCTGCTGTTTGTATCATTTCTAACTAGCTTCCTGAGCAGAGTGAGTGGGCGGTTCTTGTTCCTGCAATAATCCATGTTTCCCAACAGGAGAGAGACAAGTGCAGAGCCTGTCTTAAAAGCCGCATGGAGGATAAACAAACAGCCCCCTGCCTCTCCCTTCTTGCTGGGAACAGGGCTGCCTGCGCCACGCAGCCTGCAGTACAGCAGCAACGCAGAGGAAAGCGAGGTGCAGAGACCTGGTGAGCCCAAACGATGCTCCTGTTGGCAACACACACCAGAAGCATATTGAGTTGGCAAGGTGACATCTTCCCTCTCCCCTTCCCGCTGCACCCTGCCACCACACAGCCCATCCTCCCAAGCCTTGGCACAAAGATGCAGAAGCTTATGAGAAGAAGGCAAAATGCCACACTCACTTAGGCTCTCTGCCTCCGTTGTACTAGATGGCCACTTGTGGAATGAAATCCGGCGTGTATTTCTGCAAATGGGGAGCCTGTGTCACCACCAAGGCAGCAGGCTTTGGTTCACACACTGTGTTAAGTTGTGGGTGAACATATCAGACAACACAGCGATTCTCCAAACAGCTCTTGTTTATTCACAAGTCAGAACTGAACTGAACTGAACTGAAGGGTTCAGCCAGCCTGCTTATATAGAGCTCCAGTACAACGTAACTGTAACAACTTTCTGTAACTATCCAATCACTGAACGTCACTTTCGATCCCTTATTTGCATATGTGGACCTGAGTGAAAACTATCTACAGTATCCCCCTGCTGGCCCAGGGTGAGAACTTCAGTACATAACACACTGAAAGCCAGGTTGAGACTTGGCAGCAGGGCTATGAGGCGGCAGAAGGGAATCATCCATTCATCCTGTCTCTGGCTGCTGTCAACCTCCATGTCTGAAGGTTTGAACAGGGCCCATCTACGTATAAGTTGCACACGGGCGAGTTCTCTTCAGCAGCATTGGAACCCCACAAAAAGCCAAGGCTCATGCCTATAAAGTCTACTCATGTGCAGTTTACACGTTAAGAACATAACATAAGGACAGAAGCGGAGCCTGTTGGATCATGTCAGTGGACCATTTAGTCCAGCATCTTGTCCTAACAGTGGCCAACCAGGTGCCTGTGGGAAACCCACAAGCAGGACCC